AAGAAAAATAAGGGCATTATAGTTGGTGTCAAAGCCCTAAGTTTTTAGGTCCTTTAGACTGCGATGTAGGCCAAGCATACTTCCATGATCCTCCCAAAGACATATCGTCACTATTTTTTTTTTTTTTTAAGATAATAGTTTGTTTAGTTAAATGATGCATGTTGTTGACTGGTTATGATAATGCAAAGTTAGACATGTTATGTCAAGTATGTTAATATGATTATGATAATGCAAAGTTGTCATGACGTGTTTGATGTATTTATGAGATTGAGAAGAGGAGTATGTAATGTATGTAAGTGAGTATTATAGGCTTAGTACATTATGTGCTGTATATAGATTATGTCACCTAGAGGTCGGGAAAGAAGGCATAAAGGATGACCCCCTACTAGAGGTAAAGGTAGGGATAGAAGAAGTCTGGTCTGCAAGGGATCAATCAATCAACTTGATGAAACGGGGCCACCTCCATTGCCAGTGCCACCCTAGGCTGCCCCAAATCCCACAACTACCCTAATGGGGGAATTACTGCAAGCAATTATGCAAGCAATAGTAACAATTCAACAGGGTAACGATTCACCGTCAACCAGAAAGGCAATATACCTATGAGACTTTGGGGGGATGACCCTCATATTTTTAGTGGGACTATGGAGGATCCATAGTGGCACATTTTTAGTTGTCGTCAATGGATACAGTGTTCAAGCTGATGAATTGCTCAGATGATCAGAAGATACGATGTGCAGTATTCATGCTGGGAGGCAACATAGAGTTATGGCAGGAGTTTACCTACAAGTTTCTTAGTTGTGAGTGAGGTGTAATCTCGTGGATGGACTTCAAGAATGCCTTTTGTGGAGAACATTACTTGGAAGATTCTCAACTCCACAAATAGCAAGAGTTCACACAACTTATTCAAAAAGGATGTTCAATCACTACGTATGCAAGGGACTTTATAAGAACGAAACGATTCGCTCCAAAGTTGGGACAAAAATGACGTTATGACCAGATTGACCCTCATGACCAATCTCATACGCGATCACAACAATGACTTGATAGATATCGCAAGGATCCTAGGCATAGTCAACAACCATGCCGATATGAGACTAGTGAAGATGAAAATCATTAGGGGCAATGTTTGGCCTACGCTAGAGCAAGTTGTTAGTGCGGATAAGAAGGCCATATGGCCTAAAATTGCGCTGGATAATCTTGGTAACTAGGAAAGAGGTCCGACCAGCATGAATTTTTGAGAAATAGCTTGAAGAAACTTCTTGACAATGGAGCTCTACTCCACCATGTTGCCTAATTAACGGATCCTTGACATGTTCCACACCCACATGCATTGTTTGCAGCGTCTCCCATGGTACCTTTGTCGAGTCCTTCTCTACAAACATGAGAAGGACGTACTCTAAGACTATTTGGCAGATGGTGGCCATGTTGCGTAGTTACTCTTATCATTGTCAAATCTCTCCAGTGACTTTGTCTGTGTTAAGAATCATGGATCGCCATAATGGTATGATAGTGGCCATTTTGAGCATAAGTTCTCATCACTTTGCTTTTTGTTTCCCGAAAAAGCCTCATACCAATGAAGATGTATTCCTCACTTATAAACTCATGATCAATCCCTTAATTAACCAATGTGGGACTCCTCTCCCAACAAGCCTCAATAATGCCCTCCTCTAACAAAGTATACCATGGAGCCTCCCCTTAATCGAGGTTTTACTCCTTCTTTGGAGCCCTCGAACAAAGTACACCCCCCTTTGTTCTACACTTGAGTCACTTTTCACTGCACTTTTGAGACTCACAACTTCTTTGTTCAAAATTTAAGGATTCTACAGACTTGGACCACCACAGTGGTATGATATTGTCCACTTTGTGTATAAGCTCTCATGGCTTTGTTTTTGGTTTCTCGAAAAGGCCTCATACCAATAGAGATTTATTCCTTGCTTATAAACCCTTGATCAATCCCATAATTAGCCGATGTGGGACTCCTCTCCCAACAAACCTCAAGATGTGTAACCCTTCAACGCTCTTGGCAATCCTACTATAAAATTCATGGTTATATTCTCCCATTTCCATTCTGGCACACTAGGGGTTACAACAATCCCATCATTCTTTGTCTAAGTGCTTTGATTTGCTGACATACCAGGCATTTAAATCTTGATACATGTTGGTACCACAAGGGTGCATGGCGAACGAGAAATTATGTGCCCCGCCTAGTATCTCATTTTTTAGTTCTTCCACTATCGGTAGGAACAAACATCATTGGCACAGTAATCCTCCATTAAACGATGTGGAGAAGCCATCCACGGGTCATGTCGTTACCTCATTAAGTATTTTTCCTAACCTAGGGTTTCCTACTCGTCTAAGTGTGCGTTGGATTGTCAGTTTGGCTAGTTGCACTCTGATTCCTTCCATTACCATCGTTATCCCAACTTGTTCAAAATTTGTCTGTACCCGAGGCTCTCTAGTGATTAAAGCCAATGAATGAGTTATTTTTCTACGTAGGTCATCTGTGACCACATTAGCCTTTTCGAGGTGGTATTGGATGTTGATGCCATAGTCTTTCACTAGCTCCAACAACCTTCGTTGTCTTATATTCAATTATTTCTGAGTGAATAAATACTTTAAATTTTTGTGGTCAGCGTAAATCTGAGTTTTCTCTCCATACAATGTGTCACGAGATCTTTAACGCAAATATTATCGCCACTAGCTCCAAATCATGTGTGGCATAGTTTTATTCATAATCCTTCAATGGTCGGGATGCTTATACAATGACATTTCTATGCTTCATTAATACACATCCTAGTCCCTTCTTGGAAGCATCACTATAAATTACATAGTTTCTCGTGTCATCGAGCATCGTGAGTACTGGTGTAGTCATTAGTCTACCCTCATATCCTCAAAGTTCTCTTCTCCCAAAAGTTTTACTAAAATTCTCTTCTCCCAAAAGTTTTACTAAATTTCTCTTCTTTCTCAAACCATTTTGACGGAGATGGTCACATTACAAAATTTGAAGTGATATTTTAAATTCTTTGTAATTTTATGTTTTATTATCTAATAGTTTTTGATTATTTTCATTAACCATTTACTTTATTGATTATATTAAAATCTAAAGCTATTAGTGGTGTAGCGTCAAACTATATTTATAATATGGATAAAGTTTAGTATTTTATTAGGCTAACACTCTTAAAACAACCCAGTTTTTAAGAATTACAAATAGCATGATTTAATTCAATTGTATCTCATACATTATAAGTTTTGATATGATTAAAATATAAAATATTTTTAATTTTTCTTCATAAATTTACTAATGGAGAAGATAAATATTTGACAAAATAATGATATGTGACTTGATCACTTGTGAATTCCTACTCATGAGAGCATATCATTTGGGTTGCATGGGACTTGATCAATCCTAAGTGACTTGTGAATTCCTACTATGAGAGCATATCATTTGAGTTGCATGGATAAGATGTTGAATCAATAAACCTAGTACTATTGATGTTTTTTAAAACATGCCCACGTTCCAAGCTCCTTTGAGAATATGGAATTGAAATCATTGTATTTAACTTCATTTTCCTCCAACTTACCCCTTTAAACCTCAATCAACTCACCAATGAAGTATGTTGATTTTGACTCTTGCACTGAAACAAATAATTTAAAAATAAAAAATAACTTGGAGAGTTTCTTTCTACTCAAGAATCTTAAGCACAATGTTTTTCATTCTTTTTGTGGTTGTGAATGTTTCCAATTCCTTATTGTGGCCGTTGCGTACTTTAGGAAGAATCAACCGTATCTTTTTTTTGTCTGTCTAAGCCACTCATTGTGTGTGAGTAAGAGGTGTTTCTTCTAATCTCTGTCGCCGTTGCCATGAAGCCTCTCCTTATGAACCTTAAGATGACCAATGACCTCCTCAATTGACATGTTCTTGAGGTCACCAAACTGCTTGATAGAGGTAACAATCTACATGAATCTTGGGGGACAACTTGAAGCAACCTTTAGATTTTGGAGATCTCCTCAACCTTGTTGCCAAGCAAATGGATGTTGATGACGATCAGTTCATGGCAAAGTATTCTACCAACTCACCATCCTTCATGCAGATAATCTTGAACTTACTTTTTAGGGTTTGCACCTTGGCTTCTTTGACCTGTTCCACACCCATATGCATTGTTTGCTATGTCTCTCAACACTTTCTTTGTCGAATAGTTTTCTACCTATATGAGAAGGACGTTCTCATGGACTGCATGGTACTCCTTAATGTTGTCACCATGCTCGATGGGTCCCACACGCCTTATGGCTATAAGTTAACACGCATCTTTATGGATCATGTTGGGTAGTTACGAGTAATTGGCATTGGAGCGTTATACTCCCCTCTTTTCTGCTCTTTATCCTTGCCACATCTCTTCCCGTGGCTTTTTGTGGTGAAGACATTTGTTTCGATATGTTGGTTTTGACTGTGTCATCGAAGTACACTAAAACAAATAACTAAAATAAAAAAGAACAATTTGAGGGAGAGTTTCTTTGTACTAGATAACTTTTAAGGGCTATGCTTTTTAATTCCTTTGTTGTGAATGAAGTGTACATTTGGAGACTATTTCGGGAAAACACTACCTAATTTCCTAAACTTTCTCCAGAAGTTAATATCTACTAATAATTCTCCTCAGAAAAACACTTACCATTTTTTTTGAACATGCTCGAGTTAATAACTACTCACAATTCTCCTAAAATTGTTCCAAGTTAATAACTTATTTTACTAAGCTAAACTTATTGGCTCACAAAATCTACCTAATTGATTTCTTACTTACCCACGTGTATTTGAAGATTCCTTCACCATAGCTACTGCCATAACTGTTTTTTTCCATTTTTCGATTTTTTAGACTAGGCATGATTAAGACTTTAGAAGGGTAATTTGTATGAGAATGCAATTTATGATGTGAAAAATGATTGAAATAGCCTGAGTATGAGACTTTTAAAATGTTTGTTTTCTGAATTATTTCCTTATGTTCTAGGTGGTTGATGGTTATTATCTTTTCAGTGAGCTTGCGTGTATGCTTTTTGAAGATGCGTTATGTGCTTGAGATTATTGATGGACATTATTGCCTAACTAAGTTGGCTTGTATACTTTAGAGAATGAATTCTTTATTATAATGGATTGATAGCATTATCTCCCTAAGAAAGCTTACATGAATATACTGAGTTAAAGGATAGAGAACTAGAACTAGAACTAGGATGATTTTACCTATGACCTAGGTGAAAGTTTTTCAGTAGACTTAGAACCCTAGGATCCTGAGCCGCGATCAATGGTAAAGACCTTAATGTTCCCAAAAATAAGACTAGCAGGTCTAGAATGTCCTAATTATGTGAGTTCAAGAATTGAACCATCTAGATGCCCTAAGAAACAAGTAAATCTTTATGTCATCCAAGAAAAGTTAAGAAAGTTTACAAGGTTGCTAGCAGCGTGAATGGTACATTGGAACCCAATTTCCTTCTATTTCCATCGGTACCTTCAGTAACACTACTCAGTGACCTAAGTCGAACCTAGTAGTACTCATGCCACGCGGTAGGTATCTATAAACACATACTATCGAGCTTGACTAAAATCACATAAGATGATGACATGTGTGGCTACATGAGGAGTTATAGTCGTGTGTAGAAACCGATCAAGAGCCAAAACCACAATTCCATAAACTCGTCATGAGAATGAAAGAGGGACAATCTAATTAGTTGTAACCAAGTATTAACTAAATTCATAACAAAAATTAATGATAGAATAAAACAAATGATTTTCAAACTTGTAGAATCCTAGAGTCCCTAAACTTTTCTTTTATAGGCTTATATTTCTTTGCTTTATTTTTAAAATTAGGTGGCATTGTTTTATCTTTATCAACTTTTCTTTCTTCCAACATTATTTCCTTCTATTCATTTTTTTTCATTAATCATAAAAATCTTCAAACTCTTCAAAATTATTTGATTCCAAATAAAACAAAAGGATTTTCTAAATTGAAAATAATAAAAAGGAAGCCTTGGATTTTCATGAAATCCTTATGGAAATGACCCAATCTAAATTAAGAAGAACAAAAAGTAATTAAAGGCAAGAGGAAGGAAGTTGTTTGCCAAAAGCAGAGCCTTTCACATTGTGACAAATGGAAGTTGGTTGGCCACCACCATTGAAGGAGAGGTTAATGTCTTGCAACACTATGCCTTGGCATGGAAAAACTTGGCTGCATTCAAAATTTACTGCCACTTGGGTTGCTGAAGTCCCCCGTATACCTTCATATCTCACGTCTCGAATTTCACCTTGAAGTACTCTGTCGACCACAAACAACATTTATGTTTGTCGCAGTCAAGGCAAACATAAATGTTGTCGCAGTCAAGGCAATATTTTTGATTCATGATGATAGGATTTTTTACGTCCTTCATTTGGAGATTGATAAAAGCGATCTTGCTAACCACGCTAGAAAATGAAGATGACCATGTTTTGATCCTCACACCATTAGTCGTGCCAACAAATGTGGAGTTTCTCACTGTGACTTCAGAGACATCTTCTTCATTTGGGTACTTCCCGAGGCTACCGATGCTAATTCCATGACCTGGACCACACTGGACATCTGTCATGTTGATGAATTTACTTCCAGGACCAAGAGAGATACAATCGTCTCCAGTGCCAATCACTGAATGCATAATGTTGACACCACTTGAGTTTGAAACGTGAATTGCATCTGTATTAGGGCTGTCTGCTGGAGCTATCACTGTAACGTGATCAAACGTGACATCACGACATCCATGCACAGCAAAATGGAACAACTTGCTATTGGACGATGTTATATTTGCAATTGTGGCCGTGTTGACATTAAAAAGTTTCATGGTCTACATTCAACCAAACATTATATCAATGCACAAGTATATTTTGGTGTACATTTAAAATAAATGTAAAATGATTGCATCCATTTAACTGCAACCTAACAAATCTAACTTTTTTTTTATTATTATTTAAACCTTAAAATAGACTTACAATTGGACGTTTAGAAGTGTTGGAAGACCAAGTTGAAGAACCACCGCCGTTCAAGCCGCCAGGACCTTCAACAAAAAAGTTGTCGACTTGATAAATACTCAGCCAATATTCACCGATGGCAAAATTCTTGGCAACTGGAGTCAACAGTTCACCTTTAATATTCAGATCAATGGATCCTTTACATGGACCTTCAAGCACCAACGGCAAAACCAGAAACCTCCCTTCGAGTACTAAAACTACACCACCTCCGTTATGTCCACAAGCTTCTCTCCATGTGCTACTTAATGCCTATACAAACCAAATAATCTAACCTACTTTCAACAAAATACCTTAAATTTTAAATTTTATTATTTGAAAATTTAAAAAAAAAAAATTTAACGGCTGAATTTACCATAAATAATATAAAAATTAAATATTTACAGAATTTATTATGCTGATGAATAATCCAAAGAAAAAAATTGTTTTAAAAATTTGTTTCATAGACCTGAAATAGATAAAATAATAAAAAAAAAAACTTAAGAAAATGAATTGTATCCCATTTCGAAAATGGTATTTTTAAAATAATGTTTCTAATGCTTTTAAATTTCAAAAACTTTTAAAAAAATAAAAAATAAAAAATAAAAATGTTACCAAGATATGAAACATATACTAATATTGTAAATATGAACAAAAAGTTGTTTGAATCGAGCATAAACTTTTACCTTCGTGTTATCCGTTTTTTCATCGGGTATCGCACCAAATTGGATGATATTGAATACTTTAGGTTGAGAATAACATTTAGGAATGAAAAGTAAGATGATAAGGAACACTAAACATCCAATCTCTTATAATTTCAAACCCATTTTCTCTCTTTTCTCTAATATAATTGATTTTTTTTGTGTTTACTTTTCTTTATTTTTATAACATATTTTAACAGCCAAAAAAGAAATCTCTCACCATTGAGATTTTATTCTTCTATTGCAAAATTATGATAGTGTAATTAATGTCAATGAAGTTTTTAAGGAAAAATATCACTCTTATCTTCCTCAAATTCTCACCTCCTAACACTTGTCGAGATTACTAACTTGTCTAGCGAAGCCAAGAAATCACCAGCCATAGCAACAACATTGGAAATATATAGAACTTCTAAAACTAGAGCACCTCCATTATTTGTATATTCGGCTCCATGTCATACTCAAAGCCTTCAAAAAAAAAATGTCACGATCTAAGTTTCGAGGTTTTGATTCATAGATCGTGATATGACTTACAAATTAAAAGTTTAAAAACAAACCTCAAAACATTTAAAAGATGAAACAAAACATTTACAAACTAAACTATTGTTAAAAGTTTATTATAAAATAAAGACGAAGGAGCAGTACACAAAAAATAAAGGACAATAACCCCTACACATAGGACAACACTCCACGATGAACCGTGATCGCATAGCTCCTAAACATTCCCCCACCTTTGCTATCAATTTGTAGTCCTCTACAAAAGAATAGAGAGTTTTTGGTTAGTATAAACATACTAAGTAAATATACTATTTGTAGACTCTAATAACATCCTTGACCTAGTAAGTTATCACCATCTTTCATCTAGACTTTAGAAAGTTAGGGCCTAGGTTCTACAACTATCTAGGAGGCCTCAAAGTTTCAAACAAATGTTCTTGCTTGACATAAACCAAATCCAGGTCTGAACATCATTTTCTTTCTTTCATCCAACCCAATTGCATCATGGATCTACTATACCATATATCTTAAGTTCTTTAAACTTAGCTAGCTTACATTTACATGGGAGTGAATCATGGTTATTCTAGATCTGGGAGACGAGACCTCATCACAATCATCACCAAGCAAGAGAAGTTACAAGATGAGATGAAGAGGGTTGGAATTGAGGTTGTAGCCAAAGGTGGTACCGCGCAGATAGCACAGATGACCGTGCAACCCACCCTACAAAAACGAGTTATTGATGCCCAGAAGTCTAACGAGCACTTCAGCAAAGGGTGGAATCAGAAAGAAACAGAGAGACAACGGGGTATTCAATCTCTTCAAACACGGGCCTGTTGTGGCAAAACAACCTTTGTGTTTCCTGAGATGAGAAAATGCTTAAAGACATCATGACTAAAACCCATGATACATCTTATATGTTCCACACAGGAAGTACGAAAATGTATCAAGATTTGAAAGGATGTTATTGGTTGTCAAAGATGAAGAAAAACATAGTGGATTTCATAAGTCGACACTTGACTTCTCAGTAGGTGAAGGCCCCAAAACAATGCCCAACAGGATTGCTACAACCCTTTATTGTTCCTCGGTGAGAATGGGAAGCAGTTTGTATGGATTTCATCTCGGATTTGCTAAAGACCAAGAATGGTTTCAACATAATTTGGGTAGTTGTAGACCAACTAACCAAGACAACTCACCTCATTTCAGGAAAGTCCACGTATCGAGTGGATCGGTGGGCTCAGTTATATGCCAGAGAGATAATACGTCTGCACGGAGTACCATTCTCTTTAGTGTCAAACTAGGATACCAGGTTCACCTCACAGTTTTGGTAAAGTCTTCAGAAAGTACTAGAAACTCAGCTAAGGTTTAGTACAACATTTCATCCTCCGATGGACAAACAGACTGAAAGGTTGAATTAAGATTTCAGAGGACATGTTGCAAGCCTATCTCATGGATTTCTCTAGATGCTGGGACGAACATCCACCCCTTATGAAATTTTCCTACAATAACAGTTATTAAGCAACCATCCAAATGGCCCCTTTCAAGGAACTATATAGGCATAGGTGTCGAACACCAATATTTTTGGGATAGGTAAACACGCTGCAATTACTGGGACCAAAGTTGGTTCACGTCACCAACGCAACAGTGTAGAAAATTAAGCAGAAAATACTTACACTGCACAGAGTCAAGAGAAGAGCTATGCAAATTTGAGTAGAAGAGACCTCAAGTTCAAAATGGGTGACCATGTGTTCCTGAAAGTAGCCCTTGCGAGGGAGGTGTTGAGGTTTGGGAAGGAGGGCAAGTTGAGCCCAAAATTTATAGGCCCTTTTAAGATTCTAGAAAGATTTAGGTCCATGGTTTATATAATTGGCCTACCACCAAACCTCTCCGTCGTGCACATTGTGTTCCACTTGTCCATGCTGCGAAAGTACATGCCGAACCCTACCTATGTGGTAGGGCATGAAACGATTTCCCTTTTAAAAAACTTTTTTGAATTCCCTGTGATGTACAGTGAAGAGACTGTCTGCTCGTTACTGCAGTCTGTCACACTAGCTAAGAATGTGCATGGACCACTGCGAATCATCTTCCTAGCCCTTAACGTTGTGATGACACTTGTGGTTTTCTTGGAATTGGTTCCCTTGTACGTAAAGCTCTCCCCTAACGGGAGTTTGAGATTCACCATCCGATCCTCACAATCTATGAGATTGTGATTCTCACCTAACCAGTCCATACCTAATATGACATCAAAGTCTTACATGCTTAATACTATCAGTGTAGCATTTATAACTCATCACAACAGTGCGACACTACCTTCCTAAGGGTTCAAACTTTAAGTGGGCTAGCTCAACGAATCCCTTAGAGATAAATGAGTGCTTAAAACCAAAGTCAAATAGTATCAAAGCCAAATGACCAAAGACGAGTAATGTACCTGTCACAATTGCATCAGGTTTGTCGACTCTCTTGGTTGTGGTTGCATGGGCTACAACTCGCCCCTATTGTTGTTGGGCTCTCCGACCCTCTGATTCTGTCCAGCAAGTCGATTGGCAATCTGCTGCAAAGCGCTCAGCTTGGCCACCTTTGTAATGTACATCTGTTCCAGCTCAACATTCCTCCTTATAAGGGCGCTGACACTTGAGACAATTAGCTTTGCCCAACACTGGGGCTCTTCCTCAGTTATCAGGATGGTTCCGATCTATCCTCTTCCCCTCGACTGAGGTGTTGGGTGTCTGTGCTGATCCTGACAATATTTTTTCAATGTGAGACATGTCAATGAGGATCGCCAGTCAGAGGGCTTCAGCATAATCGAAGGATATCTGGGCTACCACATGACCCTTTAGTTCTTCCCCTAAACCAATAATAAATTACTCAACCTTCAACATCTCTGTGACATATTCTGGAGCAAACCTTGCCAGCCCGTTGAACTCTAGATCATATTCTTCCATAGTCTTGTCTCCCTATTTTAGTTCTAGGAATGCTGCTTGCATCTTCATCCTGGCGACAACCGGGTAATATTCCAGAGATACGCTTCTTTGAACCGACACCAAGTGATAGATTCTCTATGAGGTGCAATAAACCTTTGAGCACCTTTCCATAAGAAGTGTGCCTCTCCTTTCAGCATATAATTGCCACAAGGAGGCTGATACTGAGCTGGACAGTTCATGTACAGGAAGACGTTTTCTACTGCCTCGAGCCAATTTTCTACTGCTATGGGGTCTACCTTTCCGTCATCGAAGAAAGGTGTGATTGTATTTCTAGTCCCTTAGGTACCGAGATTCTACTGTCATGCCCTCTGACTTCTAAATGTTGAAGTCTGATGGGCAGCTAGGGCTGTAGCATTAGGCTAGTGTGAGCCTTGTTCTCCATGGAGGTCTTCATGAGCACATCCAAGGTAATGGTTGTTGTCGGTTGGTTGGGCGGCACTTCAATGCTTGTGGCTGGCACTCGTGGGATAACCTCGCATGACGTAAGAGTTATCACATCGTTCCCCTATCATAATACATACATAGCATATCATAGTCATATTAATTCATAACCAATTCACACATATCAAATTTATGACACGCGTAGAACCATAAAGCACGTGTCAACATCAAATATAACTATATCGTTAGTAAAATCACTTACTTGCATAGCTTAGGCTAGTGTCATCAATTTATCCATAATGCTAGTTCGATTTTGTACTTTGTATCCAAGTCAACTTATATAAATCCATGACATCAATATATTTCGCATGAGTAGAGTTTTGAAATGTTATAATATATATATATATATATATAAATATAAAGATGTCATTATTTATTATTACGATTTTAAAAAGATATTATTACCGTTATAAGAAAGAATTTGTTGGAGTTTCTTGTCATATCATATTTTCTATTTTACCTGTTGTTCAACAAATATTTACTCTTGCTCTATGTTATTTGGTTTGTTTTATCTCACAAAATCAAACCGATATTCTTGAAGATTTATCTTCCCTCTTACTCTAAATTCTGTAAACACAAGATATTTTTGGCCAATTTTTTTAATGGTCCTTATTTCCAAATCTTAATTTTTTCCCTATGTATTTCCTTTATTTTTCTTTTA